AGTAACGATTTTGAGGCTACTGCCATCGAATAGGACAGTCTGCGCGCAGTAAGTAGAAATACCGTTATGAAACAAGACCTTTCTGAGAGCCATAGACAGTCTTGCATTAGTTATAGAAACCTCATCGCCTTCTGAACCACAGTTTCTCAAATAGCTCTTGCACATCTTTTGTAACCTGAATTATGTATTCTGATATTATCCAGAATGTTGTCCCATTGATTTCAAATGTTCTCTTATTACTGACATAAATTTCACAAATACTTGCCAATGCTCTCCACAACTTTATTTTTTAAATGTTGACAAATTTATGACTAAGCAAGCGTCAGTTACAACTCCCGTCGCCTCGCCGTAAAAAAAACAAATTGCCTTTGTTTTGTTAAGTTTCTATCAAAAACAACTTCCATCAATAATATGGATCAGAGTGTTTCATTTGAACTTTTCCAAGACACCTCTTAAAAAGATTTTCTGTCAGTTGGAAGCTGTAAAAAAAAAGCATACTGAAAGAAACAACTAGTCGACTAACAATTGTAGTGATATTCCAAGTAGCAGTAAATTATCGTACAGTTTACAACTTGTAAAAAAAAGCAGCAAACAAAAATATGAAGATTTATTTGTGTTATCGAATACATCTATCAACAACGATAATCGTAAGTGTGTAGCAAAATTGAGTAGACTTCTATGCAGCACCAAAACATTGAAAAAAAAAAGCTGACAGTAAAATGATATACGGCAAGTCATAACCAAATTGAGTTTCAGACCTTTGAGAATATAATTAGGACCAAATTTAAATTCATCAGCTCTATTCACTGCCATCTATGTGAACCAAAATTTGTAACAGCAGAACATCTAACGTAGACAAGCATTTACAAGCGAATATAAACGTGTTATTATCAACATAAAATTTCTTAAGAGAAAACTAGTTTACTACCGAAATTGGGTAGGTATTTGACCGTCATATCATTAAAAAATTAAATATCGACATGACACAAAGTTACAGAAAAGGAATAAGCCGACTTGTCCCAATCTAAGATAGACAATGACCAACAGTCTGATACTACCCGTAGTCAGTCACAAAGATGGCGCTAATACAGTAGACCAATTTTGAGAGTAACCGCCTCAATACCTAAGCAGTGAAACCTGCAGATCAACTAGTGTCAAAACCGATCTGTAGTGATATTTTGGTTAAATTGCTCATAAGCATATCTCACCAAAAGTGATAAATTCCGCCTGTAGCCATCAGCCTCCTGAAGTCTTCATCACGCAGCGCTTAAACTGAAGGATATTGGTATGAAGTAAATGATTTGTTCTACTAGAGAAAATATTCGGGAAAGAATGCCTTTACTTCAGTATTTGAACGCTGTTCAAGACGGAATATCATTGACGAAATTGCAAAAGTACAAGTGCACAGTATGACTCCAGAACAGACCAGATCCCTACATTTTTAACAGAACCGCTAAGGCTGTTGTGGAATAAGGCGGTCAATTAATGGTACCTTCAGCTATAACCAAAATCCACTAATTCTGGATATTCTCCCCGTAGCTAAATAAATTTTTCCACACTCTTTGACAGTGTTTCTAACGGAATAGAAATTTCCAGAACGTGTGGTAAAACTCGTCCCCAAGGCCAAAAAGCTCTAATTCTCACTGAAAGTTTTATGCCGTGGAGGGATCTGGAGAAAGCTTTAAACTTCATCTATTTTATTAATAAAATCATAACATAAAATTTATACTTTTTACAAAATTAGAGCATATATTATATAAAAGCAGATTAGTAAAAATATAATAAACACAACAACTGACAGCATCTGCTATACAGATGAAGAATCTAGTAATCTTTTAATGGAATCCGGAACCGCAGAGATTCCACACACCAGGTGCTTCCCAATAATTGCCTCGACAGCACTAAAAAAGTAACACCAAATGCCTCGATTATGTCACAACACCTTTCACAGAGTAAATGCTTTCCACTGCTTCTACAGTGGAAAACCAATCTTAGTTTTGATCAGTGTCAAAGTACATTGGCTCTTCTAAAAAAAATTCTCATACTGTTCTACTCTAAAAAGAACCAATAAAAATAGGTAATAAAAGCAAAACAAAATGAAACTGGAAGGTCAAGCTGATAATTAGAACAAATTACTGATCATACTTTGTCACATCAATCTCTGTATATACCAAGTGAAGAAATTTTAGAAGTTCCGACTCTGTATCCACAGTTATATTCAACCTTCGAGATATATAGTCACCGCAAAAAGCAATCCGAGCCACCTAATAGAACTGATTTAAAAATTATGTACTCTTAATATTTCGCTCGTAAATTTGAAAAATTGCTTTGCAACAGAAGTACCTCTAAGTCGTCGTACACAGCAATTGAAGCACCAGATTCAAAGTTGAACAAGTTTCTAACAGGTAAAGTTACAAATTCAAAGTCAAACGCCAGTTTAGACGAGATCAAATTTCCTATAGATGACTTCCAAAAACAATACTCTTCAAGTGCATCATTTTTAGAAGTGCAAAAACTCAAGGCTACAATTTTTGTCCTCTGAGGATTGGTTGAAAGTTCTACTTTGGAGCAACATCCTCCTAAAATCAGGTAATATCCAAGGCAGACATCTTTGTAATTGATAGACAGTTTCCTCTTAAGCAAAAAAAAGTCATAAAAAAAGATTACCAAAGCCTATAATATCACAGATAATGTAAAATAAAGGAAGATAATCAACATAAGCTAATTTTACAAAACGACACGCCTTGTTGCTGCCCTAGCAGTGATTTCCCACTGTAGGCAGTTCCACTGCTAAACACTCGCAACGGCCACTTGTTAGATGAAAACGGCATAGCCTTTTTAACAAACAAACTAATTAATGAGGGTAATCCATGACCTGCAATTTAACCTACCAATGTATATATATGAAACTTTTCAATGGCTTAACTTTTGTTAGTGGAAAGAGCAATAACCCGTTAGGTACTGAGGGACCGCTGAAATTGAACCATCTGTGAATGCGAGGTAGTTATCCAGCGGGATATTTACACCTTCAATAACTGCCCCTCGAACGATATTTGGAGGTGAAACCTAAAGAGAGCTACCTGCATCATGATTTTCAATTTTGTACAGACAGTTTCAAAAGAGATACTAAGTAAAGGGAAATCCCCACTGATATAGCAAACTCGGACATCTCGGAGCTCAGAACTTGTTGCAACGAAAACGACAGTGTTACTGGTAAACCAACGAAGTCCATTGAACGAGGATAAGTACCACGCTTAAAACAAACAACATACATTTCAAATTGTTAATTTAACTACTATGGCACTGAAACCAACAAGCAGGGAATTTACTAGTAAGGTATGCCAGAATAAAAGATTTAATGCAATATAAAAAGGGTTAAACTGTACGGATCACAAAATAATTAACAAACTAGAAATGCCTTAAAAACAACAACAAAAATAAAAAGGAACTTGATTTCCATCACGAAGATTTACTATGGTTTCAGAAAGAGGCTCTCAAGAAGATTGGATCTAACATTGTCCAGAGCTCTAACTACTTGATAACTGAGAGAATGTTGGTACAGTAAATTAATAACATTAAGAGGCACTACGCACTACCATACCTTCAACATTCCGGATTCTTCCAAATACGACAAAAACGTTGGCTTCCTCTTCTTCAGTTTTAGATTAGGGGCTGTGTAAGAAAAACTTTCAACATCATTTGGTAGCCGAAGAGCATCAAGCAACCCGTCTTCCAAAGAAAGCAGGAATTTTTTCTGAACCGAGAATTTATCTGATTCCGTCTAAAAATGTTAACTGCAAAATAGTTTAAAAAAAGGCTAAAAAAGTAGATGTCACAAAAAGCTAAATAAGCTAGTTGACATATACATTACAAGAAAATCCTTATTACTGTATTTTTCAAAAGAAACTACCTTACTTAACTCACAGAGATTTTCATATGCCTCCCACCATTTCATATAACTTGCTTCCACACTTTTAAGATCGACCATTAAAGTTCTGAATTGACATCCGTTAGTAGTTGGTAAATCTAACAGGATGTTGAAGCAAATAATTGTTCCATGAATTTCATAAGACACATAAAGCGTTAATGAACAGTAACAAGGGAAAATGGGATTAGACCATAGATCAATTTTAGCGGTAAAAAAGATTTTATCTGTTGTCATCCTTCTAAAAAATGATATGAACCAAACCGCTGAAAGCAAATAAACTTTTCAGAAACTTACCGTGCCTTTAACATTTTAGACATTTCCAATCTGTTCTCAAAACGGTACCGAAGGTCCAGTTGAGGGTCAACAACGAATATATGTCTCGTATTTTTGCAAAATCTGCATGCAAGTTGCCGCATTGATCTGCTGGAAATGAGCAAGAGGTTCCACGTCCTCACAGTTCTGGTCATTTCAGCATACCTTTGGCAAAACAAAGATACCTTTAAATAAGTTAGATGGTGATCACTTTGAGTAAAGTAGAAGATAAACAAATACAGCATTCCGCATATAGTAAACCTCCTCACAAAAAAATATTAATTTTGATACTTAAAAGTCATTTAATTAGTAGCGATTGTTCAAGTCCTAACAGCTATCTATTCATATTCCGGTTACTCCAAACAAATCTGAAGAAACATTTCAGAAGTTCAGCTGCAATCAATGTCCTATCCGTATGAACTGTCAACGACAAGAACAATAAACTGTTTGTATATGGTGACTGCAGATAGCTAAATAACCGGAACTTACAGAAAATGTAGTAAAATTAAAAAACAATTTCAAGAGTCTCATCAGATTCTTACAACTTACGTAACTAATTCACGGATTTCACCTCAGAATTAAGAACAAAGGCAAGTGACAGTGATTTCCTCGTTAGTTATAAACTATAATTAAATAATAACCAATTTCGTACGCAGTTCTTCCTCCTTGTCAACTTTTCAACATAAGAGACAAACTATCCCGTTCAGAAAAGGAGAGCTACACCTGTAGACATAATGACCGGCTACAAAAAACATCAAGATCTACTGAACTTGATTTTATTCTGTCGTAATAAAGTGGGCCCACATCACTATCATAGCAACCACCGGAACCCTCCGCTTCTTTATTATCAACCGATTGTAAACCAACTCTTAACACCAGCACCAAAATTCTTAAACGCTAAAGACACAATCTTGATGCGGTAAGTCCAGCCACTACATGTTAATCTTTCGAAGAAATACAACCCCTTTCCAATCCGTTAATGGCCCATTTGCTTTACCCACCCGATAAACCAGTTCCCACGAAGGAGATCAAAATCAAACGAATCTCAACAGGACGCGTCGCAAATACCGATAATGTCGATTCAATAAATAGAAGTTGACTCGGCAACAAACTGCAGCGATATTATTAGACAGGTTTCTAACTAGAACTATTAGCTCTAACTAAGACAGCCATAAGTTTCTCTCCAAAACAACATAATTAAACATTACTGACGAATACAACCTCCTAACCTGAACCTCTCCAGCATCTTGAACTAGCGTTTAACACCTTACAACAAAAAAGTAAAATTCATTCAAAACCTTTATTACCCTATGCAAATACAACAAGAAACATAACAGTGAAAGACAATCGTGCTTCCTCTTCTAGAAGTACATTTGCAAGAAAACACACCTTGTAATATCGTAGGACAATATAAATTCACCGAACATAAAGAACAGATTCGTTTCAGGTCCTCGTCGGAATAAATTTAACAGTACCAACAAACTATATTCTTTATACATCTCACATCACAAGAAAATGAACAAGTCTATAGGACTAAAATACCTCCGCCGCAGACTTACCTGATTATAATTAACACATAAACGGAATAGAAAAAAAAATAACCTATGTCCCTTTACAAATTCTTTGATCAACGAGATTCAAAGAATACCTCACAGATTACATACAACAATTTTACTTCTGAAAATATACTAGCGAAAATACGGAGGCTTTTTGATCTCAATTCCATATTCTGCAAGAACTGGTTCAAGGAGCTCAGAAGTCAGCGTATAACGAGTTTCCTTAGTTCCCTTTTTAGTTTGCCCCAGTCCCTTCATGCGTGCCTGAAGACAGCAAACAAAATTAAGCGGTTCACTTTTCATATTGAACAAAAGTTCCTATAAAATAACCAATTCTCAATAAAAAAAATCCTCAAAAAATTAATGCATAAGCGCTGTCGCAACTCACTATTGAACCTATCACCAAGTCACCCCTAATTTCTGAAAAACTTAACTAATCAAGTTAAGCAACCTTTTCCGGTGTAATTAATCTTCGCTATTCTCAGCTGTACACGTTTTCATAAAAACCACTAGGACAGTACCTGTTGCATAGCATCCAAGACAATATCTGATATGAATTTCTGGGTGGCTAAGGAAAACAGCCTTACAATCCGAGGATCAGTAGTATTTACTCCACTTTTACGCATATAATGTAAGGTTACAGCATCAGGTATAGTGGGAGCATACTCTTCCAAATCGCTTATAAAATCCCTAAATATTTTGGATTATGGAAGTAACAAGAACCACTAGGAGGCAAAACTTGGGAAATTAGATATCTTGTGGTGAACATTACTTTGGTCATAATGATAATGATCAGGTAAGTAAAAAAACAGAAATTAAATAAGTTTGCGATCACAGACCCAAACTTTCCAGAATGTAGAACTTTCATAGTAATAAAGCTCAAAAACACAAAGTAACAGCAAGTACAGTACTTCAAAATTTTCCCAACAGAAAATTCTGATTTTTAAGAACAATAATTAATAACCAAAGGATACCTCAAAGTAACCCCTGATGGAACTGAACTGCTCGTGAGCAGTGAGGGTTGTTGTATTCCAGGAGCAGATCTCTGCAGTGTGTTCCGCAGCAGAGGATTAGATGTTGAAGACGATGGCTGTGGATTAATGCCGTCTGCCATTATTTAAGATATAAGAGGGCATCTATTGAAAAATATTCCGATTCTGTAAATAAGAGCAGTTCAGGTAAGAAATGAGGCCGAAAAATGATTGAAAAAACAAATCGAAGCATTGAAACAACGAGAGAAAAGAGTGCTTAACCCTAACATACCTAAACCATAGAACTTAATTTTATACTTTTTTCGAGAATCCTTTAAACCACTTTAATTTAATAAATATACTCCTTCCTCTTTCCCAACTTATCGTTCTATCAAATGCTGACTGTGTGTAACAATTTTAGTCATGGCTCTGCATCAAAACTTTTTCTGGGTTACGGTGGTAACATTACTTTTTTAACGTGCGCGTCGGTCATTTGCCTATGGTTTTTGTAGAAAGGAAAGAGGAAGGGTTACATCATGAAGCTACATTGTAGAGCAAAAACCAAAAACTTAAAAATGGCTGCTTTTAAACAATCCAGGAAAAGTCGTGAAAATTATAATAAGAAATTATAAACTTTACATTCCAAGTGATCTTCATAGTGGCCAACCATTTCTGCACGAAACTTATTTCGCTCAAACTACCTAAACCAAGTCATTACAGTCGGCAGTGTGTAACTACTACTGAACGTCTCAGAGTTCTGAAGTTAAAAGTCGCCTCCAAAACTCTTTGAAAGGAGAAGCTAAAAAAGAAAAAAAAGAAAAAATTTAAATTAATAGAACCAAATAGAAGTTTATAAACTGCCGATCTTCGTAAAAACAATACAGACCTAAATCTGCTGAGCGGTATAACAAAAAAAAAAGGCCAAAAAGAAACCCTATTCTTTACAGTGAGAAGTGGGAAAATTTGGAATGTTGAGGGTAAAAAGAAAAAGGTTTATTTAGTAAACATTCATTCCAAAATAAATAAGAATAAGAAGAAAAAAGGAGGAACAGAGACTGAGTAAATTTAGGAAAATATTCGGAAATGAAGTAAATGACAGGGATACAAAGGACTAGAAGTAGATCAAACATTTTTTTGACAAAACCTACTTTTAAAAACATTAAAAAGAAAGCATAATAAAAAAAATAAAACCAATAAATTATTTGGGGTATCAGCTTTCAAATCCATAAGACCAACGATGTTCCTTAATAAATTTATTTTTGCCTTTTTTATTTATAACAATTGTAAAGATCAATTGCACTTACAGGAAAAGAGCAAAAAAGTTACAAATCTGCATCCTTGCCCTGGTCAGTTAAAAGCTAAATCCGCCTGTTTTTGACCACCTATCCCTAAATTCTTACGACCTAAAAGTGAAAACTGTTCGCCTTTTATTTTTCCAAAAGATTTTTCCCACAGTGTAGTTCTATAGCGCATAAAAAACTTTACTTGCCAACTCCTTCTAAAACTTTGCTCTCCCGTTTATTCATCACTCTACAACAAAAAAATTGCATTTTTTTTCCACTCCTTATCACTTCAATCAATCTGATGCATACCCATATCATAACAACAGTCTCTACTTCACAGGAAAACTGTGGCCAGCCAACTGAGCACTTGCAAAAGTACCGTAGCAAAAACAATTTAGATTTATTGGCTTCCAATCCAACAAAGGAACCGGTTAGACATAACGTAATAAAACAAAAGTAAAAGATAAAAGTAAAACTTCTACCACATTAACATGACACCTTGAACTGTCGCGAAAGAACGTAAATATATAAGACAAAAAAACGAACTCAAAAAACTGTGCCCATATGACTTTTAAAAAAATAATAATACTACAGTTTTGGATCACATGCTTTTGGATGTTACATGAATTTAAAAAAATAAGCTAAAATGACCATCTCACGCACGTAGTTGCCAAAAAAACTATGTATTTGTTTAAAATAACGTGCACTGAAAATTTAATCATATGTACAAGTGATGGTCAAAAGACGATTCAAACAAGACACTTCAAAACTTAACTTTTGTCTAGTCCTCCATCCAAATAATTTTCTGAAATCTTAGAATCGTCAAAAATCTACAAAAGTTACGAGTGGAACAGATTAAGAGAATAATTTTTAAACTACTATTACTTATCAACCCTAAACACAACCCACATGAACAGATTTCCTGGAATTCAATGTAATGGATGCCAACGATGAAAATTGTCGCGCGAAAATTCTGCAGTCGGCAAAATGCCAATGGGCAATGCCCATTAATATTCTCTCCCTTTGGAACAGTTATACAACGTTCGCCGAAGTTTCTGCACAGACTCGAACTGGCAGTTGTCATACGTATAGTATTCTGGAAGGCCTAAAGTGTTAACTTTTTATGTTTAGATACTTGTTTCCTTCTTTTAAAATTTTCTTCCTGTAAAACAAAAAAAGCTTGCTTCTCGAAATCGTTTGATTCACTCAAGAAGATTAGTCCTGCGCCTATTTCCTGACAGTTAGTGACCTCGAAATTCAAAACTTTAAGTTTTTTCTCCTTAAAAGTGAAAACATGTTTTTTCTTTCAAATCAGCGAACAGAGATCTGATGTAATGAAGTAAAATTCCTCTCACTTCCTTATCCGATCCACCTACATTTTTTTCAAAGAGAATAACTGTCTACATAATAGTTCTCCAACGAAACTGCCGCTGTGAAAAAGCAATGAGTGTTAAAGATGCACTTGCAAGCAATGAGTTTGCCCTGGAGTTTTTCAAAGTTCAAAAGTGCGTAAGTTGTTAGCAAACTTTAGGAGACTCTTCAACTCAGCATAGCATAACTGGTCGCCTACTAAAAAAAAAAATTTTTTGACACCCTACTGCAAGAGCACACCTAAGTGCAGCCTTTTCATTTAAAGTATTACTCGTTCATAACGAGGAAGAGATCGTAAGTTGTACTTAAAATCGCTGCTGAATGGGCCGTTTCGCGCCAGTTCGCGTACCCTGAAATTGGTGAAATGCCAATGCTTATGGTGAACTTTGTTGCCTAAAGTACTGAATTTTTCATAAAATTAACTCACCGATTCCTAATTTGTGGATAGACTCAGGTTCTGCTTTCCTAAAAATTCATTTAATGCTTAAATTCTTGGCCGGCCATAGCGTTAATAAATATAATTTTTGTAATATGGCTAGATGTTAAAGAAGGGTGGAGCGTATCTTTGTGAAGTTTTTGAGTTTACCTAAGCAATTTTCATTATCAGGAACTCCTGGGAGGAATCGTGAGGTTCATTAAAATAAGTTCATTAAAATAAACAAATGGTTCAAACGCAATTCTGAAGTGGTACAAAAAGGAAGATTATCAAAAAGCTTTTTGAAACGTTCCAGTGATTCCGCAGTGATCAAACGCTTAGCTAATAGGATGCAATTTTAGTTGCCTTAAAACGTCAGAAGTCCTATTTTAGGAATTGCTGAATGAAACTGCGATTTAAATAGCAGTTTTTTACAGTTTCAACACCATAAGCAAAAATTTGTAACCGCTTATTCCACTTTCATTTTTTAACAAAGTCTGTACCATTAAATTTTTTCACCTAATTTACGTTTTATATCACGCCTAAACGACCATTTGAGATGCCATCGAACGATAATGCAGTCTAAAACACCTAAACAAAACAGGACCTCCAAAAATGATGCACTTTTCCGTTTTAACACTAAAAAGATGAGTGAATTCCAAATGGCTTGGAAGATTCCGATCTGTTTATTTTAAGAAATAAGCTATAAAATACGATAAAATATGAGTATTAGGATAGTGAATAACGGCTTTGGCGAACCCTGGGGATAACATTACACTTGCATTGTCACATTAGTTCATGACGACTTTAAGACGATATGAGTAGTTTTTGGTACAGCAGTAGCTGATGTTAAGGGCATAATGTGTTAAGAAACTCAAAAAAAGTTCTTCGGGTGGAAAGTTTTGGATAAAAACTACTGAAGGTGGCGGCGAGGAATGAGATAGCGTAATAAAATTTTCATAACTCCTGCAGTCAAATGGAATTCTATTAACAGCTGTAGTTACATAATCGCCAAAAACTTTTGTTGCTGACCAGTCCAAAAAAGTATATTCCTAAACTGGAACTAATTTAGTTTTTGACAGACAATCGCGACCAGTTTACACCCAAAAGTCTCTTTATATTGTCATTTTACTGCATGTCTTCAAAAGATGGTTTGTAGTATAAAATTTCGCTGTGCAAATAAATGATGACTTTTTCGGCGAATAAAAGACAATATTCCTGTGAAGTTTGGTCTTAAGACTTTTG